AAAAATGATGATATTGAAACAAAAATTAGAGAATATTTAAATACCCTAGTACAATTGTGTAGCTATATTACAGCTTCTACAACTCATAAGCAACCCCAACCTTCCTCTAATCCTCCATCTAGTAATCACCAATATCAAGTCTCTTCTATAATAGAATTAATAGAACCAATTCACCCTAATGTAGTTGCACAAAAAAATGTTGTAGAAACAATTAGTAAATTAGAAGCAGAATAACAGAATTAAGGACAATAGTCACAATAGCAACCAACCCTTAGCATTCTAGAAACCTTAGCTTTCAAATAACTGAAATTTAAAAAAATATTACTGAAGAACAAGAACAGCTTAAAAAACTCAAAAGACATACATCTAATCAGCAAAAATCTCAAGAAAAAAAATTAAGAGTACTTAACGAAGAAAGTATTGTTGTAAGATATGACTCTCCTGGGTGCTGCTTCTTCTTTTTTAATATCTAGATCTTCATGATCAAATCCACAATTGTATAGAATTCAGAGAAGCTGATGTACAAAGAAGACGTAAAATTATTAAGGTTAGAACTGTACAGTATCTTCGAGATACCTTAGAAGACAACTACAATATATATATATCCCGTACTAGTATGAAAAACTACATTTTATCTCATTCAAACTGTAGCTTAACTTCTAGAACCTACTATCATCCTACTTTCGTTGAAATTGCCAGCATTTCAAGAGATAAAAAGAAGAATTATGTAGATGAGTATTACTGTCTTGTATCTGTGAGAAATGCAAAACAGTGTGCTCTGACTTTTGCTGACTTTGCTGTAGTACTCTCGCAAGATGATAAAGCAAAAGTTCTAGTCGGCATTCCAGCAGTAGAAAAACACTTTCAGACTATGCAATCCATCAATAAACTAGTATCTGTTTCAGACCATGATTTTCCTATTAGTATATCACAAAAACTAATACCATCTGTCTATTTAATGATAAATCCTAAAGAATCAAATGAATCATTACAATATAGACAGTTGGCAATCTTTATTAGAGCTCAATAGCATATTAGTTTATCGTATACCTCACATATAACAGATATTATATCTCTAATTAGTAATAAAAATCTTTCTTCAATTTTTAAATATAGCAGCAGCAGCAACAATGGTAGCAGCAGCAATAGCAGCAGTAACAGTAGCAACAGCAATAACAGCAATAACAGCAGCAATAGTGGTAGCAGCAGCAGCAATAGTAGTAGCAACAACAACAACAAAAGCAATAGCAGTAGCAACAAAAGCAATAGCAGCAGAAGCAATAGCAGCAGCAACAGTAATAGTAGTGACAGTAGCAACAGCAGCAACGGTAATAGCAGCAGCAACAGTAATAGTAGCAGTGACAGCAGCAATAGCAGCAATAGTAGAAGCAGCAGCAATAATAATAGCAGCAGCAGCAGCAGAGAGATTAAACTTCTATGAGTTATTATTGTGAATAGTGGACCTGACGAGAATCCTTGTTATTTAAAAAATATTAATCAATATTGTAAGTTGTTTCAGTTTTTGGACTTAGATTACCTGACAATCAGAACACATGCACTGAATCAGTCAGTATATAATCCTGTAGAAAAAAGTATAGCCATGCTTTCAGGAAAAATCACTGGAATTACATTAAAAATTGATCAATTTGGAAATCATTTAAACTCATATGGTGAAGTTTGTGACTATGAATTAGAACTTTGTAACTTTCAACATGCCAGTTAAACTCTTGCAAATTTATAGAAAAAAGATCCTATTAATGGAAAACCTGTTTATATTAAGTATGTTGATGAGTAAAATGATTTATGCACTGAAGTTAGATTTACAACATCTAAAGAAACAGGCATGCAAGATCTAAAAGTAGATGATTTACTTGTTCCTTGGTCATAGATCGAATCTTATTGTCAAATTTGCAGATACTCTCTTGATATTAAAAAATGTAATGATTTGTCCTGTTGTACTCTCAGATAAGCTAGTGATGCAGCTGCATTTTTAGATAAAAGTAATAGTTTTTTACCTCCAGTAACTAAAGAGAAAGATAGACATTATCTTAATGCCATATATATGTTTCAATATTTTAATAATCTAAAAATTCCTGCATATGATACGCATCTTTCCTCTCTTTCAGCTGAAGATCACTCAAGATAATGTTGCAAAATATGTAATAAATACTTTCCTACTACTGCTATGCTTATAAAATATAAAAAAACTATTCACTTCAATAATCAAGCTCGAAGTCTAAATCAATGGTATCAACAAACTAACTCAGCAACCTTGAACGATTTTTCTTTATTACCTTCATTATCTGAGATATGAACACAGGTTGTAATTATGCAGTTACAATCTCTTTCTGATATTGAATAGGTAAATATAACAATATAAAAAGTTAGTAAATATAAATGCAAGTTATCTGAATAAGTAGAAAAACTTTCTATAAAATAAGTAAAGATTTTTTATACACATCGGTATTATTATTATATTTATATAAAATAAATAAAATAGCAAAGTGCATATGTATTAGAATATTAAATAACAATAATATCTATAGATATAGGATCATGATAATTAGCCAATAATTTTAAAAAAATTCATCTCTTTAATATGAAAGAAACTTTGTACAAAGTTATAAATTTTTTATTTATTTTTTTTTTTTATTTTTCAACAAGCTGTCCGCAGATTTTTATTAAGTATTATTTTTAAGTTACATTTGTTAGTGAGGATACAATTGGCTACATGTATAACTTTAGTCATTATCTATTTACAGGTTCCATCATATAGGTTACCTACCAATTGCCATACCTAGTATCTGCCTGTAGATACTCTATTTAAACCCTCTGGTATCATGGTGAAACTCTATTTTTAACCTAATGTTTATTTATCTACGCTAATCTTGTGTTGCTTTATCTGAGGACTACTTAGACCAACTTGCACCTCAAATTGACTTCATAGGACTGGGCCCTATCACAAGGTACCTACCTGCATCCTATTCCAGTGAGGGCTTGCGGATGACTCCAACTATGCTATGCTATATTCCAATTAAGCTAGTATATACCCTTATCAGTGTTCGTACAAACCTAGTTTCTTCTGTAGCTCTCTATCAAATTGGTCTAGTTCTTCTAAATGTTTCACGAAATAAATCCTCCCAAATCCAGTTAGCTGCCAAGCCAGGTTAGTGTTACCATTTGTATAACATTATATCATGCTTAACTTTTCTGTTATATTATGGACTTACTCGCACCCACTCGGCCTGCATTCTTCATTCCTAGACTTCCTCCAGATCAAATGTCAAGCTAGTATGACTGTCGAAATCTATACTACATCACCTAACTCAGAATTTCTACAATGCAGATCCTCTGCTCATAGATCCTATCAAGATTTATTTGTGTAATATTACATCAGACCTAACTTTTCTGTTATACTTCCAATACCCGATTGATATTGGTATAACATGATTTATAGGTTTACAACCCAGAAACGAATAGGGTTTACTGTAAGTTAGATACAAAGGTCTGAATAATTATTCAAATTTGTCAACAGTGGGATTTGAATACCAGATTTCTTACATAGCGGTTTGACAACCTAACCACTACACTAAAATCACCAGACCTTATTAAGTTATAAATTAAATATTAATTTATTTCAATATACAGTGAATAGATAAATATATGTAAAGTGGAGTAAAGGTAGTATTCATTATTAATAAATCCAAACTCATTAATACAATTTACGATCTATAAACTAAAACGTATTATGGTTAACAGATCCAAACACAATACAAGAACCAAAAAGTATTAAGCTCAGGACTTCTTTTACAGTAAATCTATTCTTATTCAAATTTAATAGTTAGTAATAAAAGTTTTTTAAAAATCTAACGTAATAAGGTAGTCTTGAGCAAAAATGTTCTCACTTATCTTTATTTCTGTATAAGCTAAGATTGTTTAATAAATGGCAAGTATATTTTAGCAAAGTTCATTGGGATTAGAATTATTTGAGATTATTTTGCCTAACGAATATTAATGTTCATTTAAAGTTAGAAATAGCTTTTGTGGTAATTTTCATTAGTGAAATGTTACGTTATCAAAAAGTACTTTAAAATATATAAATAAATTACCTGAGCAATTGATTTGATTTTCCTCTTATGAAGAGATATAGGATAAAAGTTAGGTTATACATACTGAGGAGAGGGTATAGGGTAAGAGTTAGGTTATACATCCTAAAGAGAGTAGATATGAGGAGGCTGTACCCCATATAAGGAAATAATATTACATGATAGATTAATATGTTTTACAAGACATCTTGTCTATCTTTTAAGTAAAGTTAAAGTATTAGAACTACACTACAATATATTTCTTGAATCTCTGTGAATCTAACACTATTATATTGCTATGTCTTAGCAAAGTTATATATACAAGATATATAGCTGAAGTATAAAACCACCAAGATATCTAAATTTTACATACTAAATGAAAGGAAAGAGTGGTAAAACTAAGAAGCAATGATTCAACAAAGATAAAGGTTCAAGTATATGTTTATTTAATTATTATTATATGCATGTATAGAAATCTTTTAATTAGTTAATAACAACGAATATAACTAACTATATAATTTTTTTTTTTTACATTATTCAAGAATTTATATGAATTTATATATACTTGCATATTAAGGTTGTAAATATTTCTAATAAACAGCAGGATGTATTAATCGCTGGGTTTTAGATTAAGTATAGAGCAAATTGTATCAAAGATTATTAATTTTATTACAGTATATAGATGGAATTTAATTAATTAGTCAATATATTAATGAATTAATAAAAAAAAATATGCTTATATACTATAACAAAGTTTAGGATATTTGTTTTTTAACTTAAATATTCAATATTTAACTTGATTTTTACCTCATTTTGCTTTGTTTTCAACTTTTTTGTATTTTTTACTTGTAAAAATTTACGATTTTAGTTGGTTTAAAGATCTTCTAAGTGATCTGAAGTTAGTGCTTTCAACAGTCTCTCTTCAATAGGGGGTTAGCTAAAGTAGTGCAGAATCACGTACCATCTGACCAACTCCAACCTATGATGACCCTAACCCTTAAAGTTAATTTGATAAAATATATATTATATGAATATGCTTAGTTAATTTTTGTAGATCTACTCATGATTTCTTGTGATAGTAAAAGAATTCATCATTTTAGTGCTATTAGAAAATGAAAAAAAACTCTACATAAAGAAGCTTACAAACTAATAAATATATATAGAAGAATTTATCACATAGAGAATAGATAGATATATGTAAAGTAAATAAATGTAATATTTATTGCTAATAAACTCTAACTCATTAAAGAATCTACAAAATATAAACTAAACTCTAATTTACAGTTGTATTAGTCTATATACACTAAAAAACTACTCAAACTTAAATATTAAACCTTGGAATATATACTATGAAAGAGCTTGGACCTATTTAACTTAAGCAGTTAGCAACAAAAGTTTATTTGAATCTAACATATTAAAGTAGTTTTAGATGAAAACAGTTCCAGTTACCTTTATTCTATAGTGTAATTTTGCGCGATCCAATAGATGTTAGTAAATTTTGTCTTCTAAATAAAGTAAGTTAGAAGCGAAACTATTTAAAGAGTATTTTTGAACTGTGCATTTTCAAAAATACTTTAAAGTGTATAAATAAGAAACTGAGTAATTAGGTATATTGACCCTTCCTTATATAAGGTAAGTATAGTATTATGAGTACTATTCGATTTGTCTCATCAAAATGAATTGAATAGTACTAATAGCATCCAATTTGAACCACAGAGTTGAGAGTTATATGCTACATAAAATCAGAAAAGGGTATTGTAGTTGATAAAGGTATTGTGACAAATCTGCTATCACTATAACTTGTGGTCTATCTGTTCAAATTAGATGATTTTTATACCATTTGATCTGTCTTATTGAGATGATTCGAATAGTATAAAAATTATTTGATTTTGACCACTGTATCATAAGATATTGGTGTCTGAATATAATATTAATTTTTTAAAAAAAATTAATTTACAATATTTGGGACTAATATCTCGTAATTTAGTAATCGAAACCAAATAAATTTTACATTATTAAAATCATTTGATTTGAATTGATAGATCATGAGTTATAATAGATCTATCATAATACTTTTATCTACTACAATACCTATATTTACTTTATATATTATATATAATATATATGTGTAACCTGATTTTTGGTTAGACCCTCCCACTCCCTAAAAAATCAGGTGATAAATGACATACCCCTAATAATGCAAAGTGAGCCTACTAACGAAAGAATATTTCAGTTAAAAGCAATAGGTATAACTAGAAAAGGTTATAGTAAAGAATCAAAAAATAGAGAGAAATAAACTACTTTTTGATAAAGGATAGCAAAAGCCTAGTTATGCAGATTAAGTATCTAACAAATAGCTTATAAACACTCAGTAAGTCTAAAAAGTGTAAACTAGAATTATACTAAAAAGATTACTGTATTTTATGTAAAGAAGGAGTACTCGAAGACTTTGACTATTTAATATAATATTCTGCTCTACAAGAATATTAGAAAGAAATTAAAGAGGCAGTATTAGAGAGTATTAGCAAGATCTAAGCTGAAGAAAACTTTAAACTACTTCTGTTACTAGAAATTAAAGAAGCTATCTTTCCAAAAGATAAAAAGAGTAGATATCAGAAAAGAAAAGAGCTACTAATTAAATTTGAAGAAAAGAAGATAGCTAGCAATCTTCTAGTATTAGCTCAGAAAAAAAATATAACAAGAACTTGGTTAGATAGTATCTTCTTTATTTTACAAAGAAGCTTTGTAGAAATAATATGAAACTGGTGATATGAGAAGGTGATTCTATAGGAAAAACAAGAAAAGATCACAACAAAGCTTAAAAGAAATACAGAAAAAAAAAGAATCAAAAGTGAGAACTCAAATAGATAAAGAAAAGAAGATATTACTTGTAGAAAAAAAAAAAAAAAAAGAAAGGAAAAAGAAGTGAATAGAAGTATCAATAGAAGAAGTAGTTAAGGAAGGAATAAATGAAAGAGAAGAAATTTGATAAAGTTTTTTTTGATATAGTTATACAAAATTGTTTTAGCTATATAACTAATGTGACAGGTTGCATTTAAGT